AATCAGAAACACTGCAGCTCAACCAATGAGAAGCCTCCACAGCTCAGCCAATGAGAAGCCTCCACAGCGCAGCCAATCAGAAACACTGCAGCTCAGCCAATGAGAAGCCTCTGCAGCTCAACCAATGAGAAGCCTCTGCAGCTCAACCAATGAGAAGCCTCCACAGCTCAGCCAATGAGAAACTGCTGCTCAGCCAATCAGAAACACTGCAGCTCAGCCAATGAGAAACACTGCAGCTCAGCCAATCAAAAATGCCACATCAGCCAATGAGAAGCTGGTACCGTCCTGATCTGTCATTCTCCCCCAATGGACTTCCCTGTAGAACAGCCGCTCCCTCTCCCCATTTACTCTATAAAGCCAGCCCGCCTCCTTAGTTCTCTGGGTTTCCCTATGGTCCAGCATAGCATGCACATCCTAAATTGCAATTCTTTTGGCTACTCCCAAGTAAACTCATTTTGAGACAGAATAACAGGCAAATTTGCTTTTTAAGTTGACAATGCAAACTCCTAGAACAAAAACACAAACCTTCCTAAATGTTAGAGGAAACTTGTTAGCTACAAGGAAAACTCATCAAATATAGAAATAAACAGTAAATATAACATAATGCAAACAGTAGTTATGACATAAAATAATGTAACAGAGTTGAGACCAAACATATCAGTCATCTGAATAAATGTGAGTAGACTTAATTTGCCTCTTAAAAAGTGAGTGGGCTTAATTTGCCTATTAAAAGGAAAAGATTCTCAAATTAGCTTATAAAGCAATGCCCAGCTGTAGGCTATCCATGACGGACATACCTAAAACACAGAAATTTCAAAAAGGTAAAAATGGAGGAAAAGGCTAATAAATATCAGGCAAATGGAAATAATAGGACAGCAGAGGTTAAGATCCTGATAGAAGAAAAAATAGAATTGAGGTCCAAAAAGCATTAAATTTGACAAAGAATAACACTTCTGAGTGCTAAAAGCCACAAGTCACAATCAAGATATACCAGTCATGAATATCTTTGTGCCAAATAACTCAGCGGCCACTTATATATCATCAGAACAGGATACCCCGAAAGAAATGGAAACAGATTAATAATAAGTGACTTTAACACACCACTCTTGGCACAAGACAGGCCAGATGGACAAAAAGTAAGACTATAGACCAGCTAAACAATTGACACATGTCTATGCAAATAAATTTGAACATTTAGTTGAAAGGCATAGTTTCCTAGGAAAATATAATTTTCAAAATTGACCCCAAAAGAGATAAAAAGTGTGAAAGTACCAATTTCTGCTAAAGAAATAGAGAAAATTATCAAGTAATTACCTCACCAAAAGCAGCAGGATTGGATGGTTTCACAGAGAAATTCTACCAAGCCTACATTGAAAAAGAACACCCAATGCCCCATAAATTGTGACAGAACAATAAAAAGGAAGCAAACATCCCAGTCTTTTTATGAAGCAAGTGTAACAATTATGCCTAAACTTGATGAAACACAAATAAAAGTAGATTACCTCCCCAACACTCATGAATATTAGTTTAAAAATTCCTAAATAAAATATTGGCAAACCCACCCCAACACCACATGAAGAAAATAATACACTATGGCCAAGATAGGCTTATACCAGGAATGCAAGGATGGTTCAATACTGGGGAATATAATTCACATGAAAGTAGGTCTAAGAAGGAAATCATATGAGCAACTCTATAGATACTGGAAAATCCCTCGGCAAAATTCCTAAAAACACTCAAAACACTATGAGCAGATGGATACTTCTTTTTTTCTCTTTTATTTTTGTGAGGGAGATCAGCCCTGAGTTAACATCCGTGCTAATCCTCCTCTTTTTACTGAGGAAGACCGGCTCTGAGCTAACATCCATGGCCAATCTTCCTCCTTTTTTTTTTCTTCCCCAAAGCCCCAGTAGATAGTTGTATGTCATAGTTGCACATCCTTCTAGTTGCTGTATGTGGGACGTGGCCTCAGCATGGCCGGAGAAGCGGTGCGTCAGTGCGCGCCCGGGATCCGAACCCAGGCCACCAGTAGCGGAGCACACGCACTTAACTGCTAAGCCACTGGGCCGGCCTGTGGATACTTCTTAACATCATAAAATGTATATATATGCCAAAGCCAGCATCCTACATAATGGAGAAACATTAGAAACATTCCCACTAGGATTAGAGACCATGCAAGGATGCCAACTACTCCATTACTATTTAACCTCATACTGGAGAAATTAGCTAATGCACTTACACAAAAGAGAATAACTAGATTTATAAGAATTGGAAAATAAAGAGTAAAACTATATTTATTTTCAAATGACATCATAGACTACCTGGGGAATCCTAGAGAAGTCACAGTAAGATTAACTCAAACAAGAAAAGCATTCAGCCAGGTAGCAGAATATAAAATTAACAAGCAAAAATGGATAATCTATATATACACAAGTATACAAAGCTATGCTCAGCTATCATCCACACTACAGTTAGAACAGTTAGAACTTCTAATGGAAAAGAAAATGCCATTTACAACAGCAAGGAAAAAGATAAAATACTTGGGATTAAACTCAACGAGAAAGATTCAAAACCAATAAGGAATGAAACAAAACACTCCTTAAATAAACAAAAGTAAAATTGAACACCTGGAAAGACATGCTTTGTTCTTTTTTTTTTTAATTTTATTTATTTATTTTTTGCCCCCAAAGCCCCAGTAGATAGTTGTACATCACAGTTGCACATCCTTCTAGTTGCTGTATGTGGGACGTGGCCTCAGCATGGCCGGAGAAGCGGTGCGTCGGTGCGAGCCCGGGTCCAAACCCGGGCCGCCAGCAGCGGAGCGCACGCACTCAACCGCTAAGCCACGGGGCCGGCCCCATCCTTTGCTCTTTAGCACATCCCAACATTATGAGTGTTAGTTGTCCCTAAGTTAATA